TCCTGAAGACACTCTTCCTACTTCCCAATGCTATTTACTTGCCTTCACCTCAATATTGCTAATCCCTTTAGTCCCTCCACTCTCTTCATTGCCTGCTTTTAAACTACTTGAACTACCTGGCTGGCCACAGTGATTTAAATATTCTTCACTGATTCTCAGTAAAACTTGTCTAAAAGCAGCCATCAGTTACCATGCTATAGCCTAAGTAACAGACTATTTTGATTTTTTTTTTTTTTTGGTTTTTATGAGACAGGGTTTCTTTGTATTGTTTTGGAGGCTATGGGTCCAGCCCGGCTTCGAACTCACAGAGATCCGCCTGCCTCTGCCTCCTGAGTGCTGGGATTAAAGGCATGCGCCACCACCACTCGGCCTATTTTGATTTTTTTTACCAAATAAATTATTCCTTCATTCAAACTTAGATTTACTCAAATTTTGAAGACATGGTCATTGTATAAGCAAATCCTTTGCTAGAAAAGCTAAAAAAAATGACTTCGAGTTCAAATTCTATTTAAAGATTTTTGTTAACATATGAAATTCGTGAATTATTCTCTAAATGTCTATCATGGTTCTGACATAATGCCGGAATCATAATCACTCATTAAGCTCTTTTTAGTATTAAATAGGGCTATATTTCTAATTTTTCTAAATTTCTCATAGAAACTCATTCCACATTTTTTTAACACCAGTCAGGCCCAATCACAGCAATAGCCCTATTTTTTGGTACTAATTTTCTATATTGGCTGCTTTATGTATTGCCATAATACATAAGAATATCAGAGTAGAGTTAGAAAGTTTATTATGGCCAACGGATTCAGAGGCACCAAGGAATCATGGTTGTGAAAGGATGATGGCTATGGCATGTAATAGTCTCAGTTCACATTTAGGTAGATCAGGAAGCAGAGATCAAGGCAAGAACCAAACTGGTAGAAAAAGCTTTCAGTAGCTTAGCCCTACTGAGCTCCAACCCCACAAAGAAATGATTCCACAGCCTCGTAAATTAGTTCCACCTGGCAGAAATGGAGTTTTGTAAACCATAATCCTGTAGCAGTATTTCAGGCAAAATCATAGCAATGTCTCAGATGCCTTTAAGTATGTGCTCAGGGAAGTTAGAGATGGAATCACTAGTAGTTTTAATTTGTCAAAAGCATTAAAAATGTGATGGTGTAATGCGTACATCTGTGTTTGACGAATTTTACAACTTGTCTTCTACAGCATTTATAACTAGTACAGAACTGTTAGCAGTGTTCTACTATCTTGAAGTATCAAAATCTTAGTAAGTAGTAATCACTAAAATATCATTCTTATTCTCAAAAATTTTATACCTCAGACTATGGTGACTGTTTTCTATGTGTTTTACTACATTGGGACTCAGACACAGATATTCTTATCAAAATTTACCTGTTTAATTTTTATGTTCTACACATTTGACTAATTTGGTCTAATGATTAAGCCAATGTATTCACAATTTTACATTGATCTGACAAATGTCAAGGTAATTAATACATAAAGAAGTTTTTGTCTGACCATCTATAACACAATGCACAAGATGACATTATACTTTTATTGTCAAACATAAACTAAACCACATTTTGTTTTTCCCCAGTGTATTTATAATTGAGTCTTCACTTTTGTCTCTTTGTTTGTATCCATTTGGAAATGCTTTAATTGGGACATTTAAATAGTATAATTTATTTATAGGTAATATTAATATCATTTCTCTAGAGAAATAAATTACTTGTCATGGCTGCCACTTTGCAGGGCAGGTGCCTTTACCACTGGTTATACATGTGTTCATGGTTAAGTTAATAATTAATGGAGTTTATTGAATTTGTGGATTCATGGTTTCATCAATTTTCATAATTTTTGATATCTACTCAAACAAAAATTTGTCTCATTGTCTTTGTGTTTCTGTTGCCAGGTAAGTTACATAGGTTGATTTATAGGCCCTCTTCTCCATGTTACGTTACTTTGAAGTTACCTAATCCTTTCTTTATCTATGACTAATTTCCTCTGAATCTTTCTTAGATTATTTCAATTTTTGTTGATTTAAAAAAATCTTTACACTGCAAACTGAATTTTATTTGTTTGAGAATTTCCTGGATTGCTACCACATTTACATTATCTCTGTCTCTGTTTCTTTCTCAATTCTTTCCATGGGTCGCTATTCTTTTTTTGATGCATTTTATTTTCTGACATTAAAATCTAATTATACCATGTCTTCCCTTTCATTTCGTCCTTCCAACCCTTCTCATATATAGTTGCTTTCTCTCTTAAAAAGACTCTGTTTCTTTAATTATTGTCTATATGGGGTGTGTATGTATGTATTATAGATATATACATTTAACTTACTTAGTTCCTATAACATATTTAATTTTAGGGATGACTACTCTTTCAAATTCATGATATCTTCTTTAAATATATATACATACATACATACATATATATATATACATATACGTGTGTGTGTGTGTGCGTGCGTGCGTGCGCATAGGTACATTCTTTTGGGTTCATTTAGTTTTAGCCACATGCTTATATGTTTAGGGTTGATGACATAAAGCTGGATAATCTATCAAAGTTCCCTTTTTCCTAAAGAAGGGTTATTTTATTTCTCTCAGTTACTAATTTGTTACAGCTCTTTATCTAGAAGTAAGCCCTTCAACTGACACTTTCAGTGTGAAGGTCATGTTTAGGCATCTATATCTTTGAGATTTCATGGGTATAACTTCCAAGTAATATATAGAAGGCACCATCTCACACTACACCTCTTGATCTTCTTCTTCTCATCATCTTTCTGCTCTCTTTCCCACACTATTCCCCTAAACTTATGTATAAATGCTGCATTACCAGTGAGTCAGTTGAAGTTGCACACTATAATCTTATACACAGAAAATGTCTCTTCAAATTGTTAATCAATGAAAATAAAAGAAACTTCTAAATAGTATAGGTTAGTGCCATTGCCTTTGGTTGCTCTCCAGAAGTTGGAGTCCTATTGCTGAAGACATCACATATATTGACATAGCCCTTGGAGAAATCAATCTTGAATTGATTTGGAAGACTCCTCCCTGAGGACTAGCTTTCTAAGATCAAAAATGTTATGTAAGGGATCAAGAGTGAAAAACAATCAATAATCCTACTTAGCTTTGAAGCCTATGAACCAAAACAAAGAACAGTGTGTCAAGAGATTCCCAGGGGTACAATAGTGGCACTGTATCTTGGAGGTAACTGATAGCCATCTAATTGGACTTGAAGCCCACTCGATATGTGGGAATTCATGTCTGGCAATGTAAACTTAGCCAGTCACCTATGGTTGGTGAAATCATGGATGATATAGGAGAACCTACTACTGCCAATTTCCCAAACCAGTGTACTTTCTAATTGTATTCTAAACACATACATGTATCTGCACTAAGTGCAGGTATTACCCCTCTTAAGAGAGTCTCCTTTATTAACACATAGAGCCCATTACAAAAATCCACAATGTGTCAAAGTGCAGAGTACAGCTGTTGTTTGCAAAGAACTACTGTAGTGCTGGATATCAAACCAAGGGGTGCCCTCATGCTACACAGGAATTCTATTACTTGCTAAATCCCAGCCCAATAATTAAATCATCTTTATCTCTAGTATTTAACACATAGCATTGGATAGCTTATCAAAGGGCTGATTCCTAAGGAAGACTGAGTCTGTCTCTCAGCAGTCACTAACTTACTATATGGATTTCTATTGATTTTGATTATTTAAAATTTAATATTTTAATATAATTGTATTATAACATCCTCCCATACGTACTTATTTCTGACATTCAAATTCATGCCTCTTTTTAAATTGTTGTTGACAATGTCAAATGTCTGTATAATATTATTAGTATATATGCTTTCAGAGCTATTTGATATTTTATAACTAATTGGTGTGCCTTCCCTCAGAGATGATTATTTTTCCCACTCTCAGAATTCCTCAGTTTTCTATACTTCTTTGTGTAGGGCCAAGGCTTTATGGGCCATTCTCTATATATTTTAGCATATCTACTGTTGTTTTCTTGTTAGGCCCATAGTTAGGGTGTCCTGTTGTTGAGATTTTATAAATGTAGCTTCTGACATTAATATGAGTTGTAATCTCACATCAAACTTCCAGACCTTCTGTCTCTTCCAGTCTTCCACTCCCTCTTCTGCAATGGTCCATAAGCCCTCGGTGCAGGAGTTATTTTATGACCCTCAGTTCTAATTAGGGAAGCCTATCTTTGAATTTATTTTTCCATACTCTTTCATTGAAAATATTTTTCACACAATATATTCAGACAATGATTTTTCCAAGTCCTCTCAGATCCTGTCCATGTTCCCACCCAACCAACACAACACCCCTCTTTCCATCTTTTAGAATGAAAATAGGCAAATAAAACTAGTGATGGCAACAATCAGGATACATTTAAAAAAAAGACACAAGAAACACATGCACAAACTCACTTCCTAGTTTTAGGGATATTTTTGTGTACTTTGTTTCACAATGATCTTTGAACCATAGGTGTGTATGTTGTTATAGGCCTCACTAATCATCAACATAAATTCTCTTTGAAATTCTGATTTTACAGACATTTTTCTTTCAGTATAATCTCTTTATCTCCTTAGAAGAGATATTTCATATTGTACAAGTACTGATTCTGAGTCTCCAGTTTCCCTTGTATATTTTCTTACCATATAATGGAAAATTCACAAAGTCTAGTCTTGTCCATGATTTCTCATTTCAAATACTCCCTGCCTATTCTTTTTCTTTCTCTTTCTGTCTCTGTCTCTGTCTTTCTCTTTCTCCTTGTTAAAGAAACATTTAAAAAGTAAATACACAAAACAATGAAAAACCACAAGAAACACACACACACACACAAGAATATACAAAACCCATTAACACATGAAATCGGAAGCAAAACTCCATTAAGATAAAAAAAGAAATTTCCTAATGTAATACAAGACAAAAAAATCTACAAAAACACCATTGAATTTGTTTTGTGTTGGTCATCTACTATGGGGCATGGGGTCTACCCATAATTGGTTTATTTTTCCTTTCCAAGTAGTTGCTGTTTGGAAATGGCTTGTTGCTGAGGAATGGGAACTTGTGTCTACTTCCCAGTCTTACCTCTGGGACTGCATCTGTCTTGAACTTCTTGTGCATGCTGCCACAAACTATGAGTTCATGTTTAAATCAATCCTGTTCTTTCTGAAAGGTAAGATTTCTTTGGTATTTTCCATCACCTCTGGCTTTTACTACGTTTCTTCATCCTTTATACATAGCTCCCTGGTCCGTTAGGGAAGCTATTTAATGAAGACTTCCCATGTAGTAATGAGCATTCAAGATGTCTAGTTCTTTCATATTGTCCGGTTGTACATCTTTGTGTTAGTTCCACTCTGCAATAATAGGATGAAGATTACTTGGCATGTGTTGATATATGGGCATAGCAGAAAGTCATTTGGAGTCAATATATTGCTACATTCTTTTAGATGAACAATTGTATTTGCATTCCATCACATCCATGTCCTATCTAGAATAAGGTTCATGGCCACTTGAGCATGGTCAGTTACGGATTCCATCTTATGGAATAGGCAATAAATACAATAATGTATTGGCTGGTCACTCACAAAACATTTGTGAAAGTGTTGGAGGCACATCATTATTGTAGATAACAGGGATTATAGCTGGGTTGGTGTTTACCTTTCTCTTTGGTCATATGCATTCCAGTGCCATGAGCACTAGTCAGTAATGGTGAAAGGACTAGTTAGACACCATCTCAAATTCTGTGTCCAACAATTTATGAAGAACAATCAATAACATCGTCAGTCATTTGAACTGGCTGGGGGTTTCTATGAGACCTCTTTGGCCAACAACTCAATTATATGAAACCCATCACTAGTGCTGGACTTTTGTTGGTGGCAAAAGATATCTAGTTATGGAATTGTTTCTCCATTTTTTGGTGACTTTATTTAGATTTCTTTCCCATATGTAAATATTTAAAGAAGCTTCTCTATTGTGTGTAAATATGGGTAGGCTGGCAATGATGGTGTGTGAGTTGTGATCCTCTGTCTTGGTATGTCAAGTGAATTTTAATGAGTGTCACACTTTTGGGGGCAGGGTTTCAAGACAGGGATTGAGTGTCACACTTTTAATGTCTATAATGTTCAGAGAAAAGTTTGATGAGGGTATGATCTATGATCTTTCCCCTGAAAGTATCTAACCATTCTTCAGATAAGTTGATAATTTTGAGGGAAACTATCTTAATCCATTTGTCCTCATCTGATTGCAATGAACAGCTAAAATTTTAATGAATAGCTACTTTTTGAGAAGTTTTTTTCTTTGGCTTTCCCTTATCCTCACAACTTGGGTCTCCAAGAATCTCTAATGAGAGTTTATGGGAACAATCCTTCATTCAAACAAATAACTCTTTGGAGTATACTTAAGTTAGAGTAAGATGCTAAGTTTAGGGAGAGGAAAAAACAAGCAAGAAACACTCCCCTGTGGTTTAGATTTATTCTAGTAATGCTAGACTTTGTGCATCATGACCTCATGTCCACATTGCCCAATGTGGATTAAACACCACCACATATATTTAGTCTATTGTTTTCATAATACTAAGTATTTCCTCTCATAGTAAGTTCTCAACATTTTTTTCCCGAGAAAGTGCATATAAATTTATATTGTTTTACTATGTTCTTTCATTTGATTAGATTTTAAGATCTTTTTTGGTGCAACTATAATTTTATCTAAGCAAGGCAAAATTGTGATGAATATAATATGAAGACTCAGTAGGGTAAGTCAGAAAGAAATTTCATGTGAGGTCATCCCATACATTAGAACAAGAAATTGACTTAAAAGTAGCTAAAGAAGTAACATAAAATGTACATATTTGTTTAATGTCAAATGTTCTTATGGGAAGTTCTTTTTAATTAACTATTAGTTGATATGACTGGTGCGCTTTAATAGAGGTATGCTCTATTCTTTATTTCTTTATATCTACCATCCTTTTGCTTCTTATAGTTCTTGTGCAGCTTTTTTACTGTCAAGAAATCAGATGTGATATTTAAATCTAGTTCATATTTTAATCCATATCCCTGTATAATTTTAATGGAAATATACAAGGAATACTTAGTTGTTTTTAACATATGTTTTATTTGATATATCTTTGATAAAGCATGTCTATGTTTACTGTATCTAACCTAAATTCACTAGGGAGTTCTTTTGCATTTAACGGTTTCATCCACACAGGACTACTGATTTTTTTAAAAAAATTCTTCACAATTGTTCTAGATAAAGATAGTGAAAACATAGATGTGCTATGGGGTGGGAGCAAAAATTTCTTCAGGGAAACTTAGTAGTAGGCAAAACTGACTGAGCCAAGGAAGACAGAAAAATCAGTTGAAGCTTTATTTTAATAATTTAACAATATCTTTCATTTGGCTTTAGAATTATCAGAGTTTAACAATAATATTGTAACACATTATATAGAACATAGCCTATTATATATTTTCACAATAGTAAGACTGTTTAAATATGTATTAATATAGTTCCCAGAACTCAAAATTACATAGTAGCATAATGCATCTGATTAATGGAAGTCCATAAGTTTTAGCTAGGTTCTTATAGTCAATGCTTTCCTTTGTAACCCCAGTTTCCACATGTCACAATAAATATAAACAATGAAGAGATGAAGAGATGCTTTTAATTATTTGTTCCTAACAACAGAAACACCTTTAGTAGAATAGACAAACTTTTGTTATTCATTTACATATATTTTATTTTTTAAAGCAATTTTTGGCAAATAAAGTACCAATTATATAAATAAATGTATAGTATATTTAAAGTTTAGACCTAATTTTATGTATAAAAATGATCACATATAAGGATTATAGTTTCTACCTTCCCATAAACAAAATAAGAAGAAAATAATCAGTGTCTGCTAATATATAACAATTACTGTGACAAATAATTATGTAAGCCTTAATATCCCTATAGAGGGTACACTCAGAAAATTCTTTATGACATAATCAAGGGAAAATTGTTCCTTTATGTGTCACCAAACGTAGACCATTTGTGAATCCAAGTCTCTAACTGTTTTCAAAGTTAGTGAGCAGACGTTTGTTTTCTGATGGCTTGTGTCTTTATATTTACCATATGTTTGCATACATGTTGATTGCTATTGAGAAGCAAGTGAGAAATATCATGGCAGTAGATTGAGTGCAGTTGTGAAAACACATCATTTTCCATGGAACATATGTTTAACTTGTGTGAATTCCAATTTTTTATGCAGAAGTTGTATTATCTGTGTAAATCCATGTCTTGAATATTGTCCTAACTGTCTGCATTTTATTAATATGTGATTAAGTAAATGTTGACTGATCTCTGATCAGCCTGGAAGATTCCCAGTTACATAATAAGGACACCAAATGTGACTTACATAACAGAACTTAATTAAGCACATTTCATCTTACAAAACTAGCATACAGGATTTGTGGAAGACAGTTACCTAGATTATGACTACTCTGAGACAGATTCAGTATTCAAATTTTCCTGTGATATGAAAATGACTGGAATATAGTTGTAAACCTGAAATTTGTTGAACTGCTGAAGTTTGTTGATATCTTTTGCAGTGTTCAATTTAATTTTAATAACTTACATAGCTCTTTCAAGACAAAGACAAAGGATTGAATGCATGAATAAGTCAGTGGGAAAGTTTGCTTGCCAAGGCAAGCATGTTAAAGCATTAACTAGAAAATTAGGCAGGGAAAGAAGTTGAAACAATTGCTGTATCTTTGATCATCAGTTGGTTGAAAAGAAGTAAGATGACAAACAGGAAATTACAAAGGATAACTATTTGACTACACTGGAAGGAGCAGCTGAGGTAGCCATATCTCAAACCCCATGCAGAATGCTTTCCTAGAACTTTAAGAAAAAATATCCAGATGTCTAAACAGTCTACTCAATGAAGCTTTTATTTGGAATTTGGCAAACCTTCAGAAAACTAGTGGTCAGGTTTAGCTGGAATACTTTTTCCAGCCTATTTACATAATTTCATACATATTTTATGCTTGTGCAATACATTTTTAGCAGTAGCCATATTTAATTTCAGATTTCCTGTAAATTCTCTAGTTACTTCCATGGATTATTTTTATTGCTTCCGAACTAAATGCTTTGGGAATAAATCCAATATTTACACCTGTGAACAAATATTCCATAGAGCGGTGAAGAAAAGCTTACATAATGATGCCATTAATCCCTCTGTTTCACCATAATTGTATCATTCAGCTCTAAAAATAATACCTTAGGAAAGGAAATTAAAATACTAATTTGCTACTATTTTATGATTTAAAATTGTGTATTCATAATGAATATCATATATTTTCATATAAATGATGAAAATATATGATGAACATTTTGTGTAAGTCAATTATGTGATAAAAACCTTTCTTATAAGATAGTATATATATATATATATACAGAGAGAGAGAGAGCAGTGGGAGATTATCTATCTATCTATCTAATATATATGTGTGTGTGTGTGTGTGTGTGTGTGTGTATTTTATGTGTGTATGTGTATCATGCGAAAGGACTAAAGAGAATGATTAGCACAATAAGGAAAATGTTAAGTGAGTCCTTTATTTGTACTTTTACATGAAAATGAGATGAGCAATTAATTCCATTTGTATCAGTGGATGCAATTACATTCATATGAAATGTCTCAGAGACTTATGACTAAGTTTCCAAAGTTGACCAAATTTAGAACAATTATTTTAAAGTCTGTGCATCTAATTACTCTGTTAAAGAGAAAGGGAACAGTGGATAAAATGGAAAAATAATAGTAACAATGAAAATGATCATGAAACAATTGCTCAAATTAGTTCAACAACAGCAACTGCAAGAAGCACATTTATTTTCTGAAGGTACTTGGAATACTTAAGAAATATTGGATAGAAGTTGAACAATTTCCTGTCTGGGTGACTGGGGATGAGAGAACATTCTCTCAGTGGCAAACAACTGAGATGGGTAGGTTTCCTTATTAAAGAAATGAATGTGCTTTAACTTTAGGTACACAGAACCCTTCACAGATTATATAACAATGACTAGACATTGGCAAAGGAAAAGGCCTTGTAGAAAGTAAACTATACAAACATAATAATATCATGAACTTCTCCATTGTGGGCTCTCTGCTAGAATTCTTGGACCACGGAAGGTGTAATACACATCATCAATCCTATAGCCACTCAATGATGGCAGATAGAATGGTGCACTGCTTATCAGTGCGTTCTTTGTCAAAAAAAAAAAAAAGGCCCCCAGTGTTTCTTCTATAAACTACTATTGTGATTTAAATGAATTGATGAGAAAGCTTCAGTAGAGTGAAGGTATGGAATACTTTTATGGAAGCCAGAAAAAAATATCAATAGAGTATCAATAGAGGTTTAGCAAAAGGACAGTTACAATAAGAAGTGTGTGTGTGTGTGTGTGTTGTGTGTGTGTGTAAATTGGTTTTAATAGTTGGGTTGTGAGCTAAATCCACCCAGAATCTACAGTCATTACATTCAGGAAAAGCAGACTTAAGAAAGGAAAACAATGAAGTTCTGGCTATTTTTAAGAATGCTTAATTAATTCTCAAGGAAAAACAATTATCACCTTCAAAAATACTTAAATTATTAATCAAACCAAATCAGAATAGCATTTAGTCTGATTAATTTAAAATTAACTCATTTAACACATTAATTATATCAGCAAGATATTCATAGTTGAATCCACTGAATTTTTGCGTGCACTGATGGATGAGAGCTGTGTATGAAAGCTACATGTGGATTTTTTTTTGACAAAGAAGAAAAAGGAATAAAGCTGAAAAGAGAAGTGAAAGGAGGAGGCAGGAGTTAACACAGTAGGGAAAAGGGCAGTAAAGGAAGGGGAGGGTGAATCTTTAAATGGAGAGGAACAGGAACAGGAAGGACATAAAGAAAATGAGAGAAGAAATGCAGGCAGAAGTGGGTAAGGAAAGAGAGTAAGGGAAATGCAAGGGGAAATAAAAGGAAAAGTGACAACAACCAATAGCGAAGCATACCACACTTCAGAGAACAATGACAACATGGTGAAAGAATCCAGAATAAGGTGGATGACCTCACCTGAAGTGAAGAAATTACAATCACAAGTAAAGAATAAGAAAGAGGTTTAGTAGTCTCAGAAATATACTCAACCACTTAAGATGCTTTACCATATAAAACTGTACTTCAAATCTAAATAACATCTAGTATATTAAAAACATATCAGAAAAGAAAAACAAAGAAACAAGCAAACAAACCTGGCGTGCTGTAGACTGAGTGTGGAACCTTGAAAATGCTGTGGAGGGGGAAGAGAAAAATAAAATGGTATAATACTGAAAGTATATGAAAATGAGATAACGAACAAATGAATAAAAAATTTACAATTACCTGTTGTTAGTAAGAGTTCTAATAAAATGAACTTACATTAAAGATAATCATATATTGAGTTATAAGTAAGCAGTTATATTTGAAAAAGTATGTAAGAATGAACATACTGGTATTTGCATATATATATGTATTTATATATATATATTCATTAACTTGCATAATATTTTGTCAATCATATATAGTTTTTTCCATTTTTTGACTTTATTTTTAATAAATTATCCAAATATATAATGAGAATTAAAGAAAAATTAAATATATTGAAAAATATAGGGAAGGCCAAGAGTCTTTTAGGAAGGGGAGATTCAGAAATGAATGACAAAAGAGATGAAAAGAATATCAGGGAAACTCATTTCTCCTTATAATTAGCATGTTAAAATAGTTAATATAACAAATTTTATGAAGTATAGGTTGCATTATGAAGTGTCTTCTTATACCTGAAGTAATATAGTGTCACTTGGAAGTAAATTTAGATTAACTTTATGTATACTAGTTGATCCAGAGAAGCCACTGGATCTTTAAAATAGGAATTGTAGTTGATAATGTAAGAAAGGAGAAAAATGGATTTATATAGAAAACTCAATGAAGTCTATAGTAGAAAACGTATGCTTGACAACAAGAGGGGGAAAGATTGAGGGAGCAAATAAAGAAGAGAAACAAACATTTTGTGTATTTGTCCAACTTCTACCAATTTTTACCTAGTATGTCAGTAGTTTAGCTTCACCTAATGAAAGATGGAGAAAACCTCAAACTATATGCTGTCCTTGTGCATTCTCATTTTTGTTTAGCACTCTTTTGGCATGAACAGAGCTAGATTCCAGATACAGATCCTGGGTGTCAAGGCTGAGGTGACAAACCTTAATAGCGGTGTTTGCTTCACAATGGGCATCAGACGTAGGATGAGGTAAGGCGTGACCTGGGAGCTGAGACAGCAAGCACCAGCTCAGTCGCAGCTGATATTGGTGGAGTAACATCTTTGAGGGGTATCTGGAGAGATGAGAAGAAAGCTTCCTAGCATTTTTTCATATCAGCCCCACCGTCTTTCCCTGGACCAACATCTTTCTAATCCTTCCAATCGCATTCATCTCCTGCCTTCTCAGGGCGCCTGCATTCAGGCTTGTCACCAGGCTAATCCTCTTTCTGTCTTCTGCCCCATCTCTTTCCCTCCTTTGCAAAACACTTCATACTACCCCACCTTAATGATCTCCATGCCCAGCTCTTCCTGTCTTACCAAACTGTCCTTGAAGTACCAAATTCCTTTTCAACCCCCTTCCTATTTCTCCTCCATCATGGCTACCTCTTCTTCTAAGCCAATCCCTCCACTGGCCCATTCCCTGGGCTTTCACTCTTGCCAGGAAGCTAGGCACTATCAGGCAGATTGGGTGAGTCTAAAATCTTACACAGGGACATGGGCTTTCCTATAAAGGAATCACTTCAGAAAGGCGAGTAGTAAGCTTTGCTGGAAGCCTTGCGCTGTGAACAGTGAACACTGGGACAGCACTAGAAAGTAGTCCATTTGTAGTCTACACCCATTCACTGCTGGCGTTTGCATTGGCTTCTCTAGTCTCGATGTAAATGAAAAACAACACAGATTTTCTTAAATAAATCAGTATCCTAAGAACAGAGCTCCTTATAGTCACCAGAAAATCATTGTTTTTTTTTTTCCCCTCTAGAATTCGTGCACGGATTCTGATAGAATTCCCCATGTCTTTCAGAGATTGAAGAAGAATTATCTGGACTCATGGACTGCCACTCAAGAAAATGGACGGGTGCTAGGGCCCAGGGTAAGTCTGGCTTAGCAATGCTAAGGGCGCAGCAGTTATGGAAGTGATGTCTAAGAGGATGGGAAGGAGCTGCACCTGCAGAAGTTCTGGATTCCATTTACGAGTGTTGTTGATTTGGGGTAAATCCTTAAGATATTTTATTATTCAGTTTTCTAACCCTAAAATGAATGTATCATAGACATATGTCAAGTATTCAGAAAAACTAATGTCATAGTAAGGGAGAGGTATTGTAATTATACCAGGATCCCAAAGTTAAGGACTTAAGAGTATTTTGTAAGAGATAAAAAGAAAAATAGGCAAAGAATAATGATGTATTTGATCAAAAATATATGTATTTCACAGAGACAGACAATACTGGAGATTTAAGATGAGTTAATTGCATAAATTTTTAAAGAGACTATTTTACTATTAGCATATATTATTACACTTTTACAGTATATTTGGATTAATATTTATTGTATATGTAAATTATTGTAGGAACTAAATTGTTTATGATGAAGATATAATTTATGATGAAGGGTAAATAAATAGATATATATAACAAAACAAATGTGAAAGAATTGTGATTAGCCTAATATTCAGCAGGAAAGCAATTAGTTAACACTATCAGGTATGATATATAATTACCGAAATAATGCAAAATGAACCACCTTATAAATCCTACTTAAGGGACTGCACAATAGTTTATCAGGAAAAGGTGCTTGCTCTCCATGGCTGACAATCTGAATTTCATACCAAGAAACCATAGAAAGATGATAGCAGAAAACTGACAACACACAATCTTCTGTGTTTTGTGGCACATCAACCTCTTGGTATGCACATACTATACTCACATATACAGAAGGAAAACATATCTCATTGTAAATTGTACTTTTGAAACTGGCATTGGCAAGTAAAGCAAAATGTAAGACCAACTTATTTGTTGACAATGACGAAACATATGCATTTACAATCAAAGGATGGATCTTTGTGCTATGATAGCTCCTTTGTTGATCCATAGGCTCCTCCTTGTTGCTAAAAGGTATTGGATATCTCATTCATAATCACTAAATTAACAATTTTATTAAAAAGTGATAGGCTTTATGAGGTACCAGGTTCTTGATATTTTCCTAACTGCTGCTTCAGGAAAGGTCTCCCAGGTTCCAAACATTGTCCCTGTCCTTCTCTTCCAAGTGAGGGGAAACTCCATGCTGTTTCATGAGAACAGACTAATATTCCAGATGAATATCTCCTTGGCTGTTTGCCACAATCGCTCTTAGGTATTCAGCCATGGACCAACCATTTCCCTGATTAGTAAGGTTTTTGCCATAGACCAAAGGGTAGAGTGCCTATGCTTTCATAACAGGCATTCATTCTTGAGATGAAATAAGGAGTCCTTTGAGGCAATTTCTCTAGTAGCATGGGCAAAGTCAACCATGGACTTTAGTGACAAGAAAAATTTGAAAGGTGTCCTGGAATGGTAACAAGTAAGATATCCTGGATTTTTTTTATGCCAAACCCAATTCCCAACTTGGATTATTTCTCTTCCTCATTATTCAGTCCTCCTCACTCCACCTCCCTCCAGCTACTTTGACTACAGTGTGCTCCCCAGACCGATACATCATTTTCTGTTCTCTGTCCTACCATTTCCCTCCTCCAGACAATACTTCTCTGTAACCACATCTTAATGATTTCTCTGTCAAATTCTTCATGCTTGCTAAGCTTTCCTCTAAACTCCATCTGCCTTCTTCTATGTTCTTATACTTCTCCATTATGTTGAACTCGTGCTGAGTAGCTTCCCATTCTCTGTTCTACTGTAGTAAAAGAACAAGCCACTTTACCCAGACTTGATAGAATGGGTTTCAGAGCAGCAGTTTCCCCTCTAAAGTTGCAATTGAGGTGTGCTAGCAGTCTGGCCTGATGTAAATAATGAAGAGAGCAAAGGACTGGGATCATCTCTGCATTAATCTATTTGATCTACTGGCTTTCTTCTCCATTTATGACCCTCTCAAAACAAAACAAGAGAAATTTTAGTGAACCAGTGTTATAGAAAGGTCATGTTTTCACACAATTATTTTTCAATCTAATTCACTGTGCCCTTCAGATGCCAAGAAAGAAAATCCGAGAGACACTGGCTGAAATAACTGAAGTAGAAGAGCCTCAAGCCCTTACTTAGTAAGCACTGGAGTACAACAGCAATGGAGGTGTTGTCTTAGAAATAAGGGTAGAGTGTCACACTTAGCTGGATGTGAATCTGGACTCAGTTTACTAGTTCTCGAACCATAGCTGACTTGGTAACTCATTTGATGGTTTGACATCAACACCATAAATTAGAGACATAACCAAAACTATGAACGGTTTAAGTCTTGTTCTAAACTAGCATTGGTATGTGTCTATAACAGAGATTCTCATATTGAAAGTCCTTAAGAAATACTGACTCATCTGGTGGGTATTAGCTTATTATGACCAAAATCAGACATGAGCTTAAAAATCTAAATGGATGCTTGTCTGCAAATATTTTAAAACAGCATGAATAGACTTTGGCCAAGAACACAATCATTGGGGGATTAAGAGATGGCTCAGCAGTCAAGAACATGGTTTCATTTTCCAGAGGACTTGTATTTGATTCCGAGCACCTAAATATCAGATCATAACCTGTGTAAGTCAAAGTCTTGGGATCAGGTGCTCTCCTCTGGCCTCCATGAGCACTGCATTCATGAGGGGCCCAAACTCTTAGAAACTAAGTATCCATGTACATGAGTAAGGGAGGCCAAGATCATGAAGGGTAAATTGACAGAGACAGCTAAACCAAACTCATGGGAACTCACAACTTCTAAACTGACAGCTCTGGAGCTTCTGTGGGACCCAAATAGGCCCTGCATGTGGGAGACAATTGTGTCACTGGATCTACCTGAGGGGTCTCTGACCATAGGACTAGTATCTATCTCTGATATGTAAGCTAGCTTGCTGGAGCCCATTCTCTAGGGTGGGATGCAATGGAGAGGGACTTGATCCTTCCTCAACTTAATGGCCCAGGCTTTGTTGACCCCACCATGGGAGTCCTTACTCTGTTGGAGGAATAGATGGGGAGCTGCTTTGGAGAGGTGGATGGAGCACTGTGGTTGGAATGCAGGAATGAAATAGGAAATTAAAAAATAAAATCAAAGAACATAGACCTTATCAATTTAATAAGGAATATTTAAAAGAATATAAACTAGGGAAAGAAAATTATGCGCAGTAGTATATTGGATTAGGAAACTCAAAAAAAGGAAATGTACACACACATACATACACATACCCACATAGATACACACACAACATACGCACACACACATATACACAAATACACACACACACACACACACACACACACATCAAAAACCACCGAGGCTTTTGTATTTTTGTTGTTGTTTTCATTTAAAAGGAAGACCTAATGTGTTAAGATAGAACATTGCATATGATGATGCTGAACTTCCCATTTTATTTCACTAAAAGTTCACATATAAAAGGAAACAGAGGTGTGCCAGATTACCTTTTGAATAATTAGAAAAATGAATTTGTACATGTTGCTAGCAGTCAACAAACACTCCATGAAATACACAATGTTCACCATATAAACATAGGTCAATTTCACCAGATTTTTTTTTGAGGTTAGTTCTTTGTGGGATGACTTGAAGAAGCTCATTTGTTCATTAAATATGTAGAAAAATCAAAATCTCTGCTATGAGGAGGTTACTTTTCAGGATGAAGGGCTCTAATAAGACCAATTTTGCAAGCTCTCTGCGCCTGCTCCAACAGATATCCCTCGTGGGGCAAGTTTTCTTCTGGAGTAGTGGGAGGAGACCTCCGATTTCCATAGTTTATTCTCTTTCATATTCTTTATTCTTCTGTGTCATTGAAGCTTGGAATTTCATTTCTGAGACAATGTTGAGCAAGGAAAAATAAATGTCGTGGTGTGATTTAAGCACAGCTCCATACAACGTAAAACAAGAACTTCCGACTCAAGCTTCTTTCTGATCCATTTTCATCTCTTTAGGTGAACTCACA